AAAAATAAATAAATGTTAAAAAAAAAATTAAAAAAAAATAAATAAAAATCAATGTCCTAGAGTATATTGGTCATGGAGTCTTTTGAATGGTTGGTAATGGGCAGCAGAAAGAAAAAAGTACTCTTGCAAAAAAAAAAAAATGGAGATGCGACAGAGATGCTCTTACATTTTAGCTTAAGGCAGGCTCTCTGCAGAGAAAATATTGATTTGCTGTTCCTTGCTTCTACTTTGAATTAACTATGGTTTTCACCGTAAACCCATTCTAGCCACCATGGTGGGCTAGCAAGTGGTGGGGGTAACATAGATCACTTAGCTTTTAAAAAGTCTAATTTGGGGGCAGGAAGCCTACTAAAGCTAAACTGTGTTCTAAACAATTAATGGGAACACACTGCATACATCTTCGTATACTTTGCTGTACCTATTATTGAGTCTTACAAAAAGGATGTGCTTGATAAAAGTCAATTGAATAAAGGACTTAATGAATTAGTGAATGAGTGATAAAAGAACAATTAATGGGAGTAGTGAATCACTTCTTAGTAGTCTAAATTACTAGATTTAGTCTCTGAAGTGGCCATTGTTACAAGTGTCTCGATTAAAAGAGGATACTGGTGACTGCGGGAAGTCTCCGACTGCCTTCACACCTGTCCCAGTGTCGACCAACCAACTCATGTGATCAGAAGAGTCATTCCTTGCATTCAATTTATCTCTGTCAGGCCTACAGAATTTTGCTTCTTCCTTAAAGCAGGGGAAGAACTGGTTAATATATTATCTTTTTAGTACTTTGTGTTCTTTTATTTATTTATTTATTTATTTATTTATTTATTTTTAACGTTTATTTATTTTTGAGACAGAGAGAGACAGAGCATGAACGGGGGAGGGGCAGAGAGAGAGGGAGACACAGAATCCGAAACAGGCTCCAGGCTCCGAGCCGTCAGCCCAGAGCCCGACGCGGGGCTCGAACTCACGGACCGCGAGATCGTGACCCGAGCCGAAGTCGGCCGCTTGACCGACTGCGCCCCCCAGGCACCCCACTTTGTGTTCTTTTGTAGCAGCAGTAGCTGTTAGCAGCAGTTCGTGGTAGTAGGCAGGAGGCGGCGATAGGAAGTAACAGTGTAACAGTTAGTCGCATGGCAAGCTAAGGTTTGGCCACTGCTGTTGTTGTTTCAAGGAAATACACAGATTGTCAAAGAAGCTGAAAGTTTAGCGCAGCCAGTATACACGGCCCAGGCAATGAAGCCGTGTCTGAGAACACAGTGAGGCCACAGGGCGAGATACCAGGATGGCCGCTGCTCCCCAGTACTATCAGGATGCCCTCAATATTTTGGTGGCATTTCTCGTTATCAGATCGTAAAAGTAACAATACTGCGTCCCTGGCTGAACAGGCCGAATGCTAAAAACCTCGGAACACACCCCTGGAAAAGCTGTGACACAAAGAAGAACACAGAAGCATTTAACTACAAGTAGTTTTTTAATACCATGTCTGTCCTATCACGTGGTATTAGTTCTCAGAACAGAAATAAGGTCTAATAAATTTTCTTGAACTAAAATTTCTTGGAATGGGCTATAGGGAAATGAATATTTCTCTGAGGTAAATTCAGACTAGGCTAGTTGCATCAGTAAATCTGACAAATATTTTATTTCTAAAGCAGAGGCAATGGATGTTTATTTGCTGCTTAGATCCCTCAGAATGAATAATATGCTTAGATTTAAAGCATTCTTAAAAAACTTAGTCACACACACAAAATTGGTGGGATTTTGAATGTACTGCTGATTTTTTAAAACCAGTATTAACCAATTTATGTCAACATTGAGTTTAAAAGGTTAACTACAAGAGATAATTACTTGCTTACAATATTCCCAGGAAAAGTCAACAGGAAATCATTTTTCTGGTTCTCAGGAAGCAGGGAAAAGCCCTCTATCTAATAATGTTAGAACAGGTGAAGGAAACAGTCTTCTGCTAAAAGGTGATGCAGTATTTTAGCTCAGTTTCCACCGGGAATAACATTTTGGAAAACACTCAGTCTCTCAGTGGTTCTTTCTTTGGACAAAAAGTCAAGGGAAGTCTTTGGACAAAAAGAATGCTATTCTGTGGGCAATAGCATACAAGCTACTGGGACTACTCAAGCACACGGTTTCTCAATTGCTAGAGTCAAGGAAAGGAGTATAAGTCATACATACAAATAATTGGCTTGTAATGCCCGAGGTCGCGAACCCCCCCCCCCCCCCCCCGCAAGAGACCACCAGAGTCGTAAGTCAAAGCCAAGCGGCAAGGGTCACTTATTGCAGGTTTGAACCTGGACCTCTGCGCACTCGTCGCCAGTGACGCTGAGAGGCCCCGAACAGGGTTGGTACAGCGTTTTTATAGACAGAGACAAACAGCATAGGGGAGGTTTCAGATTATGGGGGGCCTGATTAGTTGATTTTATTTTTTATTTATTTTTTTTTTTAAATTTTTTTTTCAACGTTTTTATTTATTTTTGGGACAGAGAGAGACAGAGCATGAACGGGGGAGGGGCAGAGAGAGAGGGAGACACAGAATCGGAAACAGGCTCCAGGCTCTGAGCCATCAGCCCAGAGCCTGACGCGGGGCTCGAACTCACGGACCGCGAGATCGTGACCTGGCTGAAGTCGGACACTTAACCGACTGCGCCACCCAGGCGCCCCTGATTAGTTGATTTTAAAGTAAGGACATTTGTTGTTCTCTGATTGGGCGTCCTTTGTCTGTCCTTCGGCGGGAAGGCTTTGTCCGTTACTTGTGGCGGGAGAAAAAAAAGGGGAAGGGGGAAGGGGGAAGGGGAGGAATGTGTTAAGCAAGCAAGATTACAGAAGCGAGAAAATGCTGGTTAGTAAGTATTTTCATAATCTTAGGGTATAGCAAACTAAGTCTAGAAAAATGTAACGGTGCTCACATCGAACAATAGGCAAGACATACAAAATTTTAAATTCATTTTCTACAGGCTCATGTGCCCTCTGTGTTATAGAAGAGCAGGGTGATGAGAGGGTCCTCGCGTGACAAAACAAAATGCAATCTCCATCTAAATACCAAGAACATTTTTCACAGAACTAGAACAAATAATGGTAAAATGTGTATGGAACCGGCAGAAGACCCCAAATAACCAAAGCCATCTTGAGAAAGAATAACGCTGGAGACATCACAACTCCAGATTCCACGATATACTATAAAGCCGTAGTAATCAGAAAGGCATTGAACTCGCACAAAAATAGACACATGGATCTATGGAAGAGAATACAGAGGCCAGAAATAAACCCATGCTTATATGCTTAATTAACGTACAACAACGGAGGGAGTACGTACAATGGGGAAGGACAGTCTATTCCACAAATGGTGGTGGGAGAACTGGATAGCCACGTGCGAAAGAATGAAAGTGTACCACGTTCTTGTGCCATACATAAAAATAATCTCAAAGTGGATTAAAGACCTGAATATAAGCCCGAAACTGTAAAACTCCTAGGAGAAAACATAGGCTGCAGTCTCTTTGACATTAACTATAAAAACATTTTTCTAGTTATGTCCTAAGGCAAGGAAAAGAAAGCAAAATTAAACCATTAGAACTACACAAAAATAAAGAGTTTTTGCACAGTGAAGGAGATAATAATAAAAAAAAAGACAACGTACTGACTGGAAGAAGTTATTTTCTTTAAAATTTTTTTTAATGTTTATTTTTGAGAGACATGGATTGTGAGCAGAAGAGGGGCAGACACACACACACACACACACACACACACACACACACCCAACACACAGAGAGTCTGAAGCAGGCTGCAGGCTCTGAGCTGGCAGCAGAGTTAGACACGGGGCTCGAACTCACAAACCATTAGATCATGACCTGAGCCGAAGTCAGACGCTTAACTCACTAAGCCACTGAGGCGCCCCAGAAGAAGTTATTTTTAAATGATATATCTAATAAGGGGTTAGTATCCAAAATTTCCCAAACAGTCCAATTAAAAATGGGCATAGGACATGAACAGACGTTTTTTGTTTTCCAAAGAGGACACAAAAGTGACTAACAGATACACGAAAAGATGCTCAATGTCACTTATCATCAGGGAAATGCTAACCACCATGAGATCTGTTACCTCACACGTGCCAGAAGTCAGAATGAAAAAGACTGCGATGTTACAAGCGTGGGTCAGGATGTGGGGAGAAGGAGCCCTCGTGCGCGGCTGCTGGGAATACAAACAGACTCAGCCATTGTGGGAAGTGGTATAGACACTCCTCTGCAACCTTAAAAATAGAACTACCCTACCATCCAATAAATGCCACTGCTGGGCATCGACCCAAAGAAAACAAAAACACTTATTTGAAAACATGGATGCACCCCTGTGTTTATTGGAGCATTATTCACAGTAGCCAAGACAGGACAACAACCCAATTGTCTGTTGATAGATGAATGAATAAGAAAGATGTATATATATATCTATATCAACTGCATCCATGCTATCTCTGTATTATCTCTATCTCTCTGCCTCTCTCTTTCTCTCTCTCTCTCTCTCTCCCCATTTCTCTATATCTAGGTATCTAGATATTATGGAATACTACTCAGCCATAAAAAAGGATGCGATCTTGCCATTTGCAGCAACATGGATGGAGCTAGAGAGCATTATGCAAAGTGAAATAAGGTCCTGTGATTTCACTCATATGTGGAATTTAAAAAACAAAACAAATAAAAAATAAGAGACCAACAACTAGACTCTCACATACAGAGAATACACCGATGGTTACCAGAGCGGGGGGGAATGGGTTAAGAGCACACTTCTCATGATGAGCGCTGAGTAATGTACAGAATTGACAAATCACTAAATTGTACCCCCTGATATAATGCTATGGGGAAAACAAGTTGTAAGAATATAAATTTGCATACATTTATAAAAACACATGACATGTACTGAATCACACACACACACACACACATAGTTATGTCAATGTTCAATGTGAAATTAAGCAGTGGGTACAGGCACATAAGCAACTGTCTTTATGCCACCCTGAAAAATGATAGCATTTAGTTCTCTGAGTGTGTTTGGGCTGTGCCAACAAAGTCTCCTAGCTCAGAGATGAGAACTTGGGCAGTGAGAGATGTTTAAATGTAGTGATCACCCAATTTGCTTCTCCGGGTTAAAAGTCTCTCAGAAGCTCCCAGGAGCTGTAACTTAGCAGAGAGGTTTTGGAAGGAAGAGATGGGGCTTCCTGCCAGACCGCACTAGAGTTGTCTGTATTCATTAAAAACAGACAGAATGCTACTTAAATATGACAGCTCCAGGAACTGTGATGGTTTTTACATCTGTGTTCCCATTAACCCTCGCCGTAAATCTATTATGAAAGGATTATTCTTCTAAACTTACAGAAGATGAATCCGAGAGAGATAAATAATTAGTGAGTAGCAATATTCACATTTGAACTCAGGTCTGTGGAATGAGGCCACGTTTTAAAGGTCTATATTGCCTACAAATACAGACTACTATTAAAGTACAGAAGGCATAGCAATCCAACTCTTGGTAGTCAGGGACACCTTTTCAGAGGTACCAACATCTACCTTAGGACACAATGACCACAGCAGTTAAGGAACCAGCGGGAACGGAAGGAGAAAGATTGTGCATAGGGAAACAGTTTACGCTAAATCCCACAGGTGAGCAAGGCCACTGGGGCTTGTCAGAATTGCTGGAACTTCATCACAACTGGTTCACAACAGGCCTTTCTGGTTCATGTCAAATAGGAGGCTGTTTGATGTAAGAGAAACAGGGACTTATTAGCAGATGCTAGGTTGGCAATATTAGGACCAATGTCCAACCACCATACCCAGTGATGGAAGAGAACTAGCAGTCCTCTAAGAGCGCTTGGTTTTATGAAAGTCCAAGGAACAGGAAAGAAAATAAATTTAGGTTAAGTGATAGTGGGAGAGACCAGATGGCTTTTACGTCAATGACTATAATGGTCAGCATTCATTCGGACCGAACTGCTGACCTTTCCAGATGCCTTGCAACACAAAGGAAACAGGACAGCCGATGAAAGGGAGTGAAGACGATGACCCTTGGCAGGCGTCCTTTACCCTGGGGCTGGTAAGGAGGCAACAGTTGCGTAGAGATGGTGGCTCCCAGGCTGTGGGAGAAATGGATGGCTGTTGTGTGAGGCCAGCATATATGCAGGATTGTTGAACACAGACATGAACTAGCTCTGACTGATCATCTGGGAATCATGTACGGTCAAGG